CGCTCCTCCAGTGAGTGCTGGGCACTGGGGGAAGGTGGGCTGGTGGCTGCCTGCCTCGGCAGCCCTGCCTGTCTCTGGTACATGCTCAGGAGACAGGAAGCCACCAGCAGACATCAGCCCCAGTTCTGCTTGCTGCAGCCTGTGGCTTTGTCCCTGGTGGTCCAGGAGGCATGGTGGGGCTTGGAAAAACATCGTGTCAGGTGGGGGTGGCAGCAGGTGTTTGAGGCTGCATTGAGCTCACAGGGGGCCATCATATTCCTGGCATGCCACACTCCTCTCCAAGCCCAGAAGAGCACTGTTGGCATGCTCCAGCAGGCAGGGTCTCCCATGGTGTGGCTGGTCCCATGCTGGTGTCACAGCTGTTTGTGTTGGCGCAGGGAGGCCTTGTTCCCAGCAGGACTGATGGGCACCAGCGCAGCAGCTCCAGCCATGTCTCTCTCCTGTGGCATCACCTGGCTTTGTCTTGGATGAGCCATCCTGCAGGAGCCTCAGCAGATGGCCTGGCCCATGTCCTTCTCTTGGCTGTGATGCTGATCCCTCAGTGCTGACATGTCCTCCTCTGCCTTTGTCCCCAGGTGCCGAGTCCTTTGGGTTGTTCTCCTGCATGATCAACGGGGAGGAGCAGGAGCAGACTCACCGTGCTGTCTTTAGGTGAGCTTGCAGGCACACACAGTGTCCCCAGCCTCTATCAGGGGCAAGCTGGTGCTGCACTCGCACCAAGGTGGAGCCAGCACAAACTCCAGTGTTTCTGGTGTGGGAAGCCCTGGGGAACAAACCTGTAGCTCATGCCCTGCCCAGGAGCAACACTTGCCCAGGCTGCTGCATGGGCAAGGCCTCTGAGGAGCAGCTTGGGTGGTGCCATAGGGGATACCCTTGCATTAGGTGTCAGGATGCTGCAGCCTGTTGAGCCCAAGCCTCCTCCAGTGCTTTATATAGCATGCCAGGTCCCCATGGCTACCAGGGCAGTGTCTGGGCTGGTGGTGGCTGCCCCAGCAGTGTACCAGTGAGAAGGCCACCACACTGCTAGCCAGCCAGCTGCTAGTGCCCCTCTGCCCAGGTTTGTGCCTCGCCACGCGGACGAGCTGGAGCTGGAGGTGGATGATCCTCTGCTGGTGGAGGTGCAGGCAGAAGATTATTGGTATGAGGCCTACAACATGCGCACAGGAGATCGGGGCATCTTCCCTGCCTACTATGCCATTGAAGTCACCAAGGACCCAGACCATGTAACAGGTATCAAGCCTCTGTGTGCAGCCTGCTGATGTCCCCAGCTTGCACCACATCCTCCCTGCTGAGCAGTCTGGTGCTGAGCAGGGGGCAGGGGGGAGGACCAAAATGGGCATCCAGCAGGGAGCAATGAGCAGGTTCTGCTGTGATACTGGGAGTTGGTAGCTGGTGTTGATGGAAGCTTTCCCAAGGCAGGGAAAAGCACAGGGGTGGGAAGGTGGAGAGGGGAGGTGGAGCTCAGCCCACATAGCTGGTCACCAGAGATGATCCCTGCCATGTGCTCTCTCTTCCAGCTCTGGCCAAGAGCAGTGACTGGGTGGACCAGTTTCGGGTGAAGTTCCTTGGCTCTGTGCAGGTTCCCTACCACAAGGGCAATGATGTGCTCTGTGCGGCCATGCAGAAGGTAGTGTCCCACTCCATCCCAGGGAGGAGGAGTGCCTGCTCCATCTGGCAGCAGGGCAGAGCCTCAGTGGGGAATCATCATCCCTGCTCACGAGCCGCACGGCTTTGTCTCTGTGTGCTGCAGATTGCCACCACGCGCCGCCTCACTGTGCACTTTAACCCGCCCTCCAGCTGCGTCCTGGAGATCAGCGTGCGCGGGGTCAAGATTGCTGTGAAAGCTGACGACTCCAAGGAGCACAGCAAGGTAGAGCCCCCTCCCTGCCCATCTCATCCCTCCCCTGATTGCTGCTCTTGACTGGCTCGTGCCCTCTGTGCTATGGGCCATGATTGCATATCAGAATTAAGGGTTTCCACTCCATGTCTGAGCGTGTGAGAAACACCATCGTCAGCGTTTTAGGCCCACCATTGAGGTCCCCCTTGCCTCACAAGGCCCCAGCTCTGCGCAGTACTGCCAGCTGATGCTCTCACAGCTGCCAGGCATGTCACTGCACTGGGATTCTGCAAGCTGAGCCCTACCCGGTAATCTGTCAGCTGCTTCTAAACCTTTCTGCTGCTATTTTCAGTGGTGTCCTCCAGATCTGCCCTGTAATCTCTTTATCTGGCAAGGGCAGGCTGCTGATTAGCATTCTGCATAAGTAGCCTAGTAAAGCACATTGGGATGCTGAGCAGAGGAAAGTGAGGGCTTTGCAGCAAGCTGTTGGGAAACCTCCCTTCCAGCTGAGGGATAGGAGTAGCTCATGGCTCTGAGTGCTGTGATAGAGCTGGGGTGAGGTTTCTACAAATCTTGCCTATATTCAGAGGATGCCATCAACTTAGCTGCACTTTAGACATGTATAAATAATTTTTCATTTGTGGCTGGACCCTTTGACACCCAGGCTTCAATTGACTTGTTTAGTTCTAAGTTATCTGTTAATCTTCTATGTACTAGTGTTTCTGGGAGCCTTTTTGGTGAAGAAGGAGGGCTGTGTGTGCTGGTGAACAGCAGCACTGACTCTAGCCTGAGTACAGTCTGACTCAGGGTCTCCAGGGAAATCCTGCAGGAGCTACTGGCGGTAAAGGCAGCTGAGGTGAGAGCCAGCAGGGCTGCCTGGAAAAGCTCCCTTTGTTCAGGTGCTTGGAACAATCCTGAAACTGCTGCTGATAGCAGCCCAGGATTAGTCTCCAATTAATTTCACACCTCAGTCTCCAAGTGCTATTTCCAGTGGCCAGAGACCAGCTGCACTGCAGGGTGTGGGGAGAAAAGCTCTGACAGGTCCCCTGTCTCTCTCTCTCTCCCCCAGGTAAACAAGTGTAGCCATTTTTTCCAGCTGAAGAACATTTCCTTTTGTGGGTACCATCCAAAGAACAACAAGTGAGTAGCAGGAAGTGTAGTGCAGCTCTCAACACCAGTAGCTCAGCAGCGAGGCTTTGCTGCCTTCCTGCTCCCTGGGGATAGCACGGCTGGGGCTAGGAAGGGAAGAAGAGGTTTCTCAGAGCCCTGGTTTGGAGGACTCCCTGTGAGCCCAGTGCGGCAGCTCTGGACATGGGCTGTGGCATGACCTTGGGGTGGCCACCAGGATTTATCAGGGGGGTTTAAGGTCCCAAATCCCTATGCTTAACGGTGGGTACACCTCAGAGGTGCTGGGGTACCTGTGCCTGCTGGTCTGCTGGTGCAGTCACATCACTTTCTTTGCCCCCAGATATTTTGGGTTTATCACCAAGCACCCTGCTGACCACAGATTTGCCTGTCATGTCTTCGTCTCGGAGGAGTCCACGAAGCCACTGGCGGAGTCTGTAGGGTGAGTCCTGGCTGGGCAGAGGAGGCTGGCTCATAAAGGGCAGGAGGAACAAGACAGCCAGGCTGAATCCTGCCATCTCCCCCTACATGTGGGGCTTGGACCTGGCCCCAGGCTGGCACCTCTTCCTCAAGTGAGATGCTTGGCTTGAGAGTCAGGGCTGACAGGGCTATGGGCATCATATTCCTGACAGTACTGGAACAAGTCCCAGTGCAGGGCTGGGCAGGCAGATGGCTGAAAGTGATGCACTGTGCAGGGAATCAGAGCAAGGATGGAGACCCTATGGCTCTGATGGCACCTCTGAGGCTAATGCAGAAGAGGTCAGGCCTGGGGGGGTCAAACAGGCCACAGGGAGTGAGGGTCAGGATGGAAACAAGTATCTATAATTGCCCTGTGGGGGGGCTGCTGCTAAGCTTTGCCTGGTGCTGTGTTGCAGGAGGGCTTTTCAGCAATTCTACAAGGAGTATGTGGAGTACACGTGCCCCACAGAGGACATCTACCTGGAGTAGGGGCTGGCACAGGCACCTCCTGCACAGCCAGGGCTGCAGTCTCGCCCCTTCCCCGTGTCGTGCATGGACAAGAGCTGCTTTGAGCCTGGAGGAGGAGCGGGCCCGGGGCAGGGCTCCCCGGGGCCCGGAGCGCCGCCTCTTGTCGTGACTCCCCTTCCTCGGGCTGGGGGGACGGGAGGGGGGAGGGCTGGACAAATTGTGTTTATTGTACAAAATACTCTTAGTTTATTCTACCAGAGAAGCACCCGCTGGGTGCCCTGCTTGTGAGCAGTTGGTGGGGGGCAGTAGTGTGCTCGTGCCCTTTCCAGCTGCAGGCTGGGGTGACAGCATCTCCTCCTTGTGACCATGGCACAGCTTCCTGTCACATCCATCTGGGGTGACTTTTAATTGCAGGGGCAGAGTCAGTCTCTTGCAGTATGATGACACAGCAGCTACAGAAAACAAGACCCACATGCTGGCTCCTGCCTGGGAGATGGGATCACCTCCCTGCCAAGCCCTGGGGAGATGGCTGCTGGGCAGAGGTGGCAGAGGAAGCCCCAGTATCCCCTCTACCAGATCCAGAATGAGATGAGACAGCTTTCCCCTGCCTCTGTCCCCATCCCTACCCCTTCCATCCTGTATCCATGCCCTGGGGAGAGAGAAAAATTGCCCTCATACCTCCCTGCAGTAACTATACCCTTGGGAGGGAAGCCTTTCTCTGCCCCTTTCCCCTCTCCCCCAAGCTGCAGGTGACAGAGGCAGGGCAGGGGCACCCCAGCTCAGTGGGGCTCAGCCCCTGCACAAAGCTGGATGTCTGCCTGAAGTGGGACAGGGAAGGGCTAAAGGCTGCAGGGAGCCGTGCGAAGCACCAGGGAGGTGGAAGAGCTCTCCCGGTCCCTGCAGCCAGTGATCTCTGTGCTTCAGCTGGATCTGCTGTGATGGCAACAACTATTAAATATGATGGTTCCTGGAGCGGAGCTACTGTGGTGTTTGTTTCCCACTGCAAGGGGGTTGGACCCTGGCTTCTTCTTTCCCTTGGGACCCCAAGAGGAGCTGGAGCTTTTCAGTATTGGTCCAAGAGCCCTGGCTGCAGTCCTGGGAGTCCAGAGATCATATGATGACCCAAAGGGACTTCTGGCAGGTTCTGCCCCAGCCCTCACCTGCTGGGTTGTGGCGGGCACAGGGCACGCTGGCTCACAGGTGCCCGTCCTCGTAGTACTCCAGCAGGTCCAGGCCGTCGCGCTTGCTTTTGCGAGCTCTGCGCAGCTCCGCCGGCCGCCGCGGGGCCGCCCGCCTTCCGAAGCGAGGCTGCTTGGGTCTGATGCCGTAATCTGCGGGTGCAGCAGGGGCTGGGCTCAGCTCCGGGACAGCCACCCACCTGGAGGGGTGAGTGCATGGAAAGGGGCTTCAGAGGGGCGAGGAGAGCACTGTACCATCCACCAGGCCGAAGTGCTTCTGTGGCAGCTCCAGGGGAGCAGTGAAATCCTCAGGAACTGAGTAGCTGTTCCTACAGAGGAAAACAAAGGCCAGGAGTGAGCCAAGGTCCTACAGCACTTACCCAGTCTGGCACAAGGGCTCCCACGTGCTGCATCTTCCACTCAGTCTGGCCAACTCTTGAGGCCTGGTGCCACAAGTCCCAGCCCCTGTCAGGGGCCCTGGGGTACCTGCAGGCACCAGGGCAGGGAGGAGGAGAAGGAGGGAAGTGCCATCACCTCTGGTGCACAGGCTGTGGGAGGGCAGCCCCCAGCAGCAGGGCGAGGAGCAGCAGGCAGCACAGCATGGTGCACACTGACCGGTTCCACTGGTTCCGCAGCAAGGTCACAGAGGAGCCACCCTGGTTGCCCAGGACACCTGCTGGGTGGGGCAGGGGACATGGCCCCTCCCAGGTACTGCTGCTGTCCCTTCCTAGCTTGTCCCCTTCAGGTCCTGGGCTGCCTCTGCCCAGGCCCTGGCAGCTGCTGAGCCTTTGTTGTGCTGGTGCGTGTCCCTACATGTAGTCAGAGCTCCAGAGCTGCTTGTGCCTTCCTCTCAAACCCTCCAAAAGCAGACCCTTGCATCTCATCTCAGTACCACTCTGCCCCAGCACACACTTCAGCATCTCTCTGTCCCTTAGCACCTGCTTGTGCCTTCCTCTCAAACCTTCCAAAAGCAGACCCTTGCATCTCATCTCAGTACCACTCTGCCCCAGGACACACTTCAGCATCTTCCTCCGCTACAAGACTGAGGCAGCACAGTTCCTTGGTCAGGGCTTTTCTGCATTGCTGTTACCACGGTGCAGGGCCTTGCCAGCTGAGGTGGCAACACAGACCCCTCACACCTCCAAAGGCCTGTTGTCCCCAGCTGTGGTGGCCCATGAGGAATGTGTGTGTGGGACTACATTTCCAATGCTGGGTGCTGAGGCAAGAAGTCTCTGACCCCTGCAGCCTGAGAATCCCTCAGGGATGGCTCAGGTAGGAATGTTTGATACCCACTTGGCGCACACTTACTACCCAGACATCTGCCTGTGGGGCAGTCCAGTGCCACCAGCTGGCCAACCCTTTGTCCTGGCCACGAAGCCTCCACAGAAGCTCACTATCCAGACTGGTGCTTCAACTGCCCCCCCATTAGAAGAGACAGGCCTGTCCTAGGCCCTTTATTAAATGTGGCACAGCAGATTTGCTGAATTAATCACTTCTCCTCTGCCCTTGGCCAAACCCCAAAGCACTGGCTGGCAGCCATTCTGCAAACCCTTTTACCACACATTAGGTGCTAGGAAAGCAGCCTGCACACTGCAGCTCTCCGTACCCCCAGCGGAACCCCAGGACTCTGGGGACTGAGGCAGGCACTGGGAATTACAGAGGTTATAACCATCAGCAAGATGTGGGCCCTGACTGACACAGGCCAGAGCAAAAGGCTTCTAAGGGACAGAGTATCAGAGTAGACAACTGCAAAAGCTGCTCTTTCTGACAAAGAGAGACCTGCTGCCAACCAGATACAAGGGATCCCATGCAAAGAGGCAGAGGCTCTGGACTCAGTTCTCTCCATTTAGTCAGTTTATTTGACAGACATAATCTGCCCCAAGCAGATGGGCCAGGCACGGCCAACACAAGCAGGTTGTGGGTCAACCTCAGCGCCTTGACATGTGAGACAGTGCTCTCCAAAAAACCACTATGCTGCCTGGCTTTGTTATAGCACAGCTGTACAAAAGAAGAAAAAAATCAAGTGCTTCAAAAAAGAAGTTGCTCCATCACCATCACTGCAGCCACAGAATGGTCCAGAGAAATAGATGGCCAGGGTCTCCCCACACATTTACTGTCCGTCATTCATGCCGAGATCTGTTAAAAAATTGTATACAACCCCTCCCCGCTCTGTAGAACAGGAACTTCTCATTTATGATTTAACTGAAAATTAGACATTATCAATATCCCTCCCCCAGACTGCTTGCCCTCCTTAGGAATGTCCAGCCATGATTTGAGCAGAGAGTAATCATCTTCTTTTCTTATCAGCCCCAGTTATAGAAATAGATTTTCTGCCAAGCAGGCAAGTAATCCATCAGTGGCCCTGAAACAAGAGAACAGAGGGATCATATATGTAGAAAGGCAACAATTTAAAGCTGTGTGTCTATGGGGTATATCCCCCACTTCTCATTATGATCCAAACAACCCTAAATCTCCACTTACACAACTCAGATAAACCCAAGAACAGAACAGTTACTTCTGCCAAGATATAAGACAACACTGCAATGTGGTGCTAGAGATCAGAGCAGGACCAAGAGGGGTGTGAAATATGGTCAGCACAGCCATGGTGTGGGACATCAACCATTCCCTTAGAGCTGACATGTTCAAACTGCAGTGGGAAAGGGGGTCTACAACATGCAAGGGGAAAAGCCACATGCAGAGAGTCAGGAGAACACTGCTGTGACAGGGAAGAAGGAAGATCTGCAGCAATAGTGAGCAGGTGCAAACAGAAGCATCTGCTGTAGAGTGAAAATGCTTACATTGCACAGGGCTTAATGCAGGCTCCAAAGCCTCTCTGAAATCACTAACTGGAGGAAGTAGCGCCTGAGCTAGCCAGCTTTGTGACCTCCCCAAAGAAAGAGCAATCCCATGATGCCAGGCTGATGTAATGTCATATCACTGCCATGAATCACTCCACAAAAAGATTAGCATCATCAGGGGAAGAGTGGAGGGAAATGAAATGCTGGCCTATAACAAAGGGATCCTCTGGTGAAGAACTAGAACATAGACCTGGTTTGGTCCTTTGATTCACAGGCCATTTCTGCCTGATTCAATACTTCCAAGCACCCATTTACCCCTCATGTCCACACTGCAGACCAGGGATCAAGGAAAAGAGGTCAGAACAGGGCTGTAAAGTTGGGGCCCTGGTGTATCAGCTGAGGTGCAGAAAGGAAGCCCAGGAAAACAGGCCTAGGTGGCAGACCCTGAGCTCTGCAGCCTCAGGGCACACAGAGGTTTACTACTGTCATCAAGCCAGGAAGCCATTCATCTTTTCCTTCAGCATTTAAAAATTACTCAAGCATCAACACAGGGTCCTCTAGTGCTAATCTCCCTAGGGACTTCCCAATTCCTTCCCCAGACTGGAAACCAACTGACAAATGTTCCCAACTGCCCTCATTTTTCTTCACCAGGCAGAAATGGGGATGTAACAGTGGGACCCACTCACGTGTGATGAAGCCAACTCCAGGCACATAATCAGCCAACAAGCGCAGAAGGAGGAGGATCCTGCCCCTAGAAAGGGAGAGAATATGAACAGGTCCAGCTGGACATCTCCTGCCCCAGCTGTTGAACCACAAACAGCAATGGCAGTTGTTACACAAGGGCTCAGATTAACTTGGTCCCAGGCACCCACACATCTTCAGGTCTACTCACCCAGTCCCCTGATGCTATTTCAGTTAAAAGGGAAATTTTCAGCAAAAGCCCAGCAAGGCCCTTACTCTGAGTATCGGTCGTAGAAAGGAGATCTCAGCAGGTAGTACAGCAGTAGGATGGTTCGTCGCCTCAGCTCCGCCCGCTCTCGCCTGTTCAGGTCTTTCAGATCACTCAGCAAACTCAGACTGGAAGAAGGAGGGCAGAGAGCTAAGTCACAGTGAAAGCAGCCAGCAGGGAAAAGAAAGCAAGTTTCTAAAGCCCTCCACTCTCAGCTCCACAAAGAGCAGCCCACACCAGCTCAGAACAGAGAGCACTGGAAGTGCTGTAGAAGATGTCTCAATCTCCAAGCTGAAAACCATCCTGGGTGCATATTTCTCTCAGTAGGGCTGCCCAGGACTGGGGAACAAGGAAGTGTGATGCCCAGCCACCACCAAACCAAGCACCAAGAAAAACTCTTCATCAGACTGACCTCGAGATGTCCAGGACTGCTGAGAGGAGCCAGGGCTTCCATGATCTCTGGCCCCATACTCCTAAACTCAGTACTAGGAACACACAGTCAAGGAATGAAAAGATGAGAGACTCCTAACAAGAGGCACACAGAGAAGCGACACCCTGCGTACCCACAAAATTCTGCCAAGTGCAGGTGAATACACCCTAAGACAGGGCTGGGGGCCCCGGGGAAAAGGGCTGGAGGACTCGCACCCACAGCTCCAGCGGCTGAGGCCAAGCCACCAAAGTGTAAGAACGGGAGAGACCTGAGTGCCGTGGCCAAGCCGAGCCGCGCAGGGGCGGAGCTGGCGAGGCTGCCCTGCAGCCGGGCCGAGCCCGCAGCACCCTCTGCTGGACCCGGCGGAGACGGGCAGGATACGGTGGAGCAGGGGGCGGGTAATGTAGATGGATTCTGCGATGGTTTCCTGGAGACCCAGAGGAGTGGGAGGCTGGTTGATCTCCTCCGTTCTTCGGCTCTGCGATTCCTCCCTCTGCTGGGGGGACCCCCAGTGCCGGGATTGCAGGGACGGGGCTGAAACAAGCAGGTGTGGTTGCTAACACAAATAAAAGCTTTGTCCCAGCTGGTAAGTGCGTATCACACGACTGCTAGCTCACTCCACCTGGCCCTGGAGCCCTTCACCCCCCCGGTCGGTTGGATGGGGAGAAGAATCAGAAAAAGGTAAAACTCCTGCATTGACATAGAACAGTTTAATAACTGAAATAAAGTTATTAAATAAAAATAACAAAAAATAATAACAATAATAGCAGTAATGAAAAGGAAGTTAACAAAACCCAAGAAGCACAAGTGATGTACAACCACTCACCATCCCCAGACTGATGCCCATCCCATTCCCAAACAGTGACTGGCCCCTCCCTGCCAACTCCCCCAGTCTGAAGATCCCTTTGGCCAGTTCAGGTCACCCATCCTGGCCATGCTCCCTCTCAGCTTTTTGCACATCTCCTCACTAGCAGAACCCAGGAAACTGAAGTCCTTGATTTAGATAACTGCTACTTCTCAACAACCTACAATACCAGTTATAACAATGCAATCAACACTATTCTCATACTAAACCCAAAACTCAGCACTGTACTAAACAGGTACAGATATAATTCTATCCCAGCCCAAAGCAGGACACCTTCCTGTCATGTTTCCCTGCTTTCTGCACTGTGAAGGTGTGAAAGAGGAAACCTTGATGAGGTACTTGTAAGATCCATGCTCCTCAAAGCATAGCCATGATGAAGAGCTGTCTCTGTTGCACACTTCACTTGGGAAATTTAGTGCTAGCCTTGCAGCACGTCTCTGGTTGCTTTGATACCCCCACCTACCCACAGAGGGCCCAGTGAGTGGCAAGAGATGTCCCAATACAAGGGACTGCTCACACCCATGTCATCCATGCAGGCACAGAGCAGGAACAGCTCAGGCTGAAAAACAGGCTCAGTTACTTACTGCTCTGCAGAGAGCGCACAACACGGCTGGAACGCCTGCCAACATAGGTCTGATCCTTCCCTGAGGAGGTGTCTTCCATGCCTGCAGAAGGAAACAGCCACAGGGGTCAGGCTTCAAAGCAACACGCTTCACACCCCAGAGCTGCCAGCAAGAAGAGAAGACTGAAAGGCTGATTTAGTGCAAACTGGACCATTCTGTGGGGAC